TCTGCTCCCGCTGCGCCGTTGCCCTACTATGGGGGCTTCAGACATGCAGGCCTCCGACAGACAGCCATTCCACAGATGAGAAGAAGATAATACAGGAACGCAATCCTTGAGCCCGAGCATAGTGCATGTCGAAGATAAGACGCGCTAAATGGCAATTAGTAAGTTGTAGTTTAGATATTATAGTTTCTCCTTATGAGAAACATCCATCAAATAGTTCAACCCACCATATTCTCGACAGTGCAAACGACTGATGCCGTTGATGAAGGACGACTTGCCTTTCTAGACATGGTTGGCAGCGTCGTGATGCGAGATACCGAACTCATGTCCGACTTGAATGCCGTCATCGTTCACGTGGCTCTTCTTGCGTGGCGAGGGAGTCGGTGCGGCGCTCTCAATCTCCTTGCCCTTCGTATACGTGGAGACGCTCATGCCACGGCTCTTATCGTGCGCGGACGTGTCTCCACTAGTAGTGGTGGACAGAGCCGATCGGTAGAACTCACCGTGAATGAGTCGTTGATGTGAGTCTGGTCCACTGCCAGCCGTGGAGGAATCGTTCACTACACCAGCCCATATCGCGGAGAAAGGGAGAAAGATGCAGACGATGGTGAGGACCTGGGTGCCGAACTCGGGAACGTCAGACCGGAATTGAAAAGATGTGAAGATGGCTGTCAGATATTAGTGGTGTGTTTTGAAAATGTGCAGGCGTACAAGCTCACCTGGAATCAACATGGTCTGGCAGCCCATGATGAAGACAATGTGCATCGGCCCAAATCCACGCATCTTGAGGCGACGTCGCTGATTGATGGCGTAACCCAGCTTGTATGTAAAGACGCAGCTGAACAGCCAGATGGAGATGGCTTGCACGATGTACGAGACTGAAAGCAAGTCCTTGTAAGGGTCCATAGTCTGGAACACGAGTAGCTGCTTGATGTCGTAGATGACTGCTGCAGCCTTGTATCCGAGTGCGATGCATGCCATGCTTGAAGTGACCGCCATGATAGCATAACGCTGACGAGGCATCGTTGTGACGCAAACGACCCAGACCTGGAGACAGAGCGAGATCATGACCAAGGTAGCGACTAAGAGCGTCAACACGTCCGCAGCGACCCTCGTTGCAAGGTCAGACGTTGAGATGCGGCTCCAGTCTCCCGAGGACTGGGAATAGGGATTCCAAAGGCTGCTGGTGACGAAGGTGCAGAATACGGTGCAACGGATGGTGTTGGCGGTCAAGCAAAGGGCATTGATGAGGAAGATGAATGACTTTCGCTTCTCAGCACGCGAAATCACGAGTAGAACCAGCAGTAGCATGAACGATGCTCCAACCTGAGTTCCGTAATTGATTGCGAGTCGGTTGCCGTGAAGACGGTAGAAGTCTAACGTATCCACGCCGATCGTGAAGTTGGTGCCATCTTGCTTGTAGAGAGTAATGGACTGCGCCCAGGGATCGAAGTCTGGTAGTGGCATCTCAGAGTTTGCCGTGGCGTTAGATCTTGTTTGGTGTTGGTTTTGGAGGTGAGCAGAAGAGGTGAAGTTTGCCAGCAAGAAGAGAGCAGCGGAAGAGGCGGCGCCTTCCAAAAAGGGCAGATGTGGCTGCCGAGCCAGGACAGAAGGAGCTAGCGTGAGGGTGTGGTGAGGAATAAGGAACGTTCGAGCAGTCGCCGAGGAAGGCACCCTGTATAATCCACAGTTGCAATTGCAGCTGCCGTTTGAAAGAAAAGAAGAAGTGGTAGCTGAGGAAGGAGCGAGGAAGGTGAGCAGTCTACGAGATAGGAAATATATCATGGGAGAACTCAGGGTATAATAACTAGAGCACAACTGCTGAAACTCTGGGCTAGATATTGTCTATGTCTCATGGAATGGTGCGTTTCAACAATAGCAAGTGCACCGCATCACAGCAAGATTGTCCAATATCTCGACTCTCCACTTGACCAGGCAGAAGGATGAAGTAGATGATACACCTGAGACAGCTATACTCTTGCTATTGTTCTTCGACTGCTTCACTCGCATACGTAGCGATACTCGCCGTCGACGATATCCATCCGAACGACGAGTAGCCAATGCTATCCAAGAACACTTTCCCCTGACTTGCAGCGGCCGCAGACTCGCCTAGAGAACCTTGTCGAGTGCCTACAGAAGTGCTGTTTGCGGCCTGAATTGTGGTGGTCGTGAGATAGCGCCAAATCCTTACTATTGTTCTTCTTGCTATCACCGTCATCGCTCTGAGGCCAGTTGTCTTCTTTTCGCATCCACGGGCGACGGTGGCCAAAGTAGTCGGCGATGAGAAGTGAGCGATGAGGTGCTCACAGGGAGAACTGTACATGTGCCTTCAAGATGCGGCGATGCCCAGCCATCGTTCGGGAAGGTGCAGAAGAGGCGTGTTGTGACCGTTGCGGACTAGCGCCCCACTTATTTCCGTCCTGTGGACCGTCTGCGCGTCATCACTAGCTTCCCCGTGATCGCGCGTTCACATCTCAATCTTCTTGCCACTACCCGACGCGTCAACCGTGATTTCAACATCAAAGATGAGCTGGACGCTACTGGGGCCTCCGCTTGTAGGCGACACAAGTCCACAACCCTTTCCCTTGACTACCGACAAAATTGCACACATTGTTCTGCCGGTAGGACTTGATCGAGTCGGAGTTGTAGGCCTACTTCTACCTGGGCTGCACAACGAGCTAGGCCGAGTTAGTAAGTGCCTGATACCTTAACCGCTCAAGTTTCATCATGATCTTACCATCTTACCATTGCAGCCGTTGGACCCTGGGGTGCGAAGCTAGAGGCCATCGACGACACCCTGAGCATCCTATCTGCCCAGCAGCTTGTTAGTCCGAATGCTGCAGCCGTCGACCCACGGATTGAGAAGTATGTGCTACAACCTCGCAGCGAAACTTCAGAAGTTATTCTTCTGCGACATAACGACGTAATAAGCTTTTCAAGATCTGCGACTAGTCTTACATGCCAATGGACCGCATCAGAGATCCAGGTCAACTCTTCAGCTGCAGATGTGGTAGTGGAGGAGTCGGTCGATACCAATGGTGTTGCTGCAGCACCGGAAGAAGAGACCGAGGACGAGGATCTCGATAACACCGTTGTCGCAGGTTCGGTGCAGAGATTGTCACCTCAGCCTCAACCTACCCCCCAACTTTCCAATCAACGGTCCGTCGTCGTTCAAGAAACCCCAACAACAGCCCGATATAACGACCTGTCAGATCAGACGATTGCTTATAATGATGAAAGGAATCTGTCTGAGCCTATAGAGAAAACTCCGTCGCCCGAATTTTCAAACCACGGTGATATCGAGCCATTGCCCTTTTCAACTGCCCGCACTGGAGAATCACAGAAGAAACTATCCGGTGTAGCTGCAGATCCAAGAGACGAGTTGCCGTTACAATCGAGGCCATCGATCGACGTGCCTGCTCCTATCGTACATGAAACCTCCGAACAGTCTCCGCTTCAGGACCACAGCTCCCCACGGGTGGAGATTCCGACAAAGGTGTCTAGAAAGCGATCCAACAGTGCTACCGAGATTGACTCAGGAATGGATCTCGCTTTAGCAGGCCGATCCAGCAAACGCACCAAAATAATTGTCTCCAGCGACGACAGTCAAGATAGCCGTCTGAGCAGTATCGTCGTCGAACCGCGCAAAACAGTAGCAAAGGGCAAGAAACGCTTGTCTGATGTCCCGGAAGCAACAGAAGCTGCTACCAAGTCTCAGCGCAGCTCACAGCGATCAAATACCGTAGCCGAGGAGTACAAAGGACCGGTGCCACGCGTTGCATTCAGCCACTCTGCTATCACGGGCAATACTCAAGCTATAAAGTTTCTCAAAAAGCACAAGGGCATTGTAGTGGAGTCTATCAGCGACGACTGTAACATTCTCTGTGTTAGACAGGGTACCTTGACCAAGACAATGAAGCTACTTGAAGCTATCGCTCTCGGTATTCCCATAGTCACCGACAAGTGGCTTCTAGACTCCGCTAAAGCGGGCCACCTCCTCGCTTTGCGCGAACACCGACCATCTGTTTCCAAGCAAGAAGAAGAATGGAACTTCAAGCTTGACAAGGTCTGGGGTACCCCTCAAGCGCCATTCGAAGGGTACACGATCCACTTCACGCCTGAGCTTCGAAAGTCTTATGCAGACTTCAAAGAGATTGAGCAAGTGTGTGAGACTGTAGGCGCAAAGGTGGCAACGAAGAAACCGAGCAGGGACGAGAAGCTCGTCGTACTTGCGAAGGGGGACAAGGACAAAGAGTTGGCAAAGTTGATGCAGGAAGGGTTCACATGTTATACCAAGGATCTTCTCACCAACAGTATCTTGCGAGGGCAAGTCGATCTGGATAGTGATGAGTTCATGATTAACGCGGGCGCTGCCGTTTCTACCGCTACCGCCGCGGATAATGCAAACGAGTCGAAGACGAAAAGGGGACGCAAGAAGTGAGGGCTGCGCCAGGCGATTATCAGATCGCGATCCACGATATCTATACTCGAGCATCAGGGTAGGGACGCACGATGCTCACATATTACTCACGGCATTGGTTTTACTGCATAGCAAACGGAGCAAAATCTCAGATGGGCGGGGCCAAGTCTTCTAGCGATTGTACCACTACTGCGTAGAGCAACGTCTGATGTACACTTACGACATCGTTTCGCAGCGAGCCCATATGTTTGGGGCCTCATTTCGAAAATGGCATGTCTACCAATCAGATAACTACCATGATAAATACCCCCAGCAATCCTACATACTATGCATGCGCGACTCACCGCCGCCGATGCCAGTAAGCGAGCAAAGACCCACATAGTCTATGCCATAGATCTAGCCTACACAAATCATATATTAGTTACCGTAGTATTACGTGCTAATGATCCCTAGTAGCAGACTTTTCGCCTTTATCCTTTGATTGCAAACTTTTTCATACAGGTGTATATAATATTCAAAGTTTTCGAATTGTTCAAATCACGTGCAACAAGCCCCACGAGTAGCACTTCTACTACTCAAAACATCCTCCGTGGCGCAATTGGCTAGCGCGTTCGACTGTTAAACGCATAGCGTGTGTGGCAAATCGAGAGGTTGAAAGTTCGAGCCTTTCCGGGGGAGAATCTCTTTTTTTTTGGAGAGCTTTTGGGCCGTGGTGGTCTTAATTGAGGTGATTTTTTTAGAGGCTGAGGGAATGCTAGGCTTCGTGATGTAGATCAGTTACAGCTCGCAAGAAAATGACGAAGAAATGTTTTGGTTGAAGGACCACGGGCAATATTTCTTTTACTTCTTCTCATTATGGAAGAGTCGCATTGCTGAAGAGTAGTAGACTTTATATTCTATGAAGATTGATCGTTTTTTAAGTTGAAAAATGCTGGAGATAGTTAAAGAAATAATGCCATGTTCTTCTCTTGATGCCCATGGAAGAGAAGGAAAGATCAAACAGGCTCAAATGCTTTCTCGACTCGTGCACATCCATCTAGGTTGTCCGAAGTCGCCGCGCCGTAGAAGATGTTGCACGCCATGAAAAGCCAGTGTCACGATCAGCCTAAGCTGCTCCCCAATCTGCGCCACGCAAACTTCACGCCAAAGCTCAAACCCACCCTCTACCATTCAATCTACCACCGGTAGGTATCCTCCCTGTCACGCGGCCATACCTCCCTCCTCTTGAACCCTCCCAAAACCCCAGCATCACCACCACGACCCCCACCCACAACCACGTCCCTTCTATACAGCCCATACTCATCCGTCAGCGGCCTGCCCATGACGCCATTGAACATCGGGGCGTGATAATTCGGCTTCCTGGCCCTCTCCTGTCCCTCAGCCCTCTTGAAGCCCGCCCTCTCCCGCGCCTCCACCAACGCCTCAGCTTCGATTCTCAACTCCTCCTCCTTCCTCTTCCTCAGCTCCTCCGCCTCGCGATATATCATACTACCAATTGCGCCATCCCTATTCAACTCCTTCTCCACACTAGGCAGCCCAAACGCGTTCCTTACGTATCCGCTCTCATTCTCACTCCCTTCACCCTGCAAGTACCCAGCTTCTTGCGGCAGTATACCAACCGGCATACCCTTTGCCGGCTTCGAGTACAGGAACGGCTCAATGTTGAACTGTTGCGCCCGGGCTTTTTGCAGGCTGCGGTTGCTGTCGTCGAAGCGCTCCTCCCAGGTTAGCAAGGTCAGGTCGCGGAAGGCGTGGCGGAAGGTGCGAAAGGCCGCGGCGAAGGCGCTGTTCATGGGGCAGATCAAGGCTTTGTACGGCGCCTCCAATGAGGGTACGGGCGCGCTAATGAGGGATTGGAGGCGAGCTGCTTCGAGGGGCTGGGGAACTTCAAAGCCGGTCTTGCTGATTGTTTGCTGCTGTGGCTGTGGCTGTTGCATGCCAGTGTTGTTGGTGGTAGATTTATTGAGGAAGCTTGGCCAGTGGTTTCGCTGTCCTGGTTGGGCACCATCGGTAGGTAAGACATTGACTGAGTCTGGAGCCCTCTTCGCAGGCGGCGTGTACTGGATGACCGTGCAGTACGTATGCGGTTTCGTGTGGCTCTCGAGTAAGCCAATGTGGTAGCGAGCGAAGCTGCAGGAGGAAAAGTCGCTGCGAGCAAGCACGATCTTGTACTCGAAGCCCGTGGTATCAAGGTAGTAGTGGTAAAGATCTTTGATATGAGGAGTCTTAGCTTGTGGTTCTGCAGCGGGAGCGGGAGCTGCAGTTGGCGATTTAGACGGAGAAAGAGGTGATTTGGACTTCTTAGAAGCATCAACGGGCCTAACGGGCACTGATGCGGCAGAGCTTGAGGATGGGCAGAGCTGGCTCGAGCACGCGTCCTCAACCTCAACTGAAGATTGGGTTTGAGTCTGAGCCGGAGAATCTCCACTCTCCGCCGCCTCAGCCGCCTCCCTATCCGCTCGTCGTCGTCTCAAGTCCTCGCTGGACGACACGAAAGGTGTATCAGGGACACTCGAAGAAGCAGAGAAGAAAACGCTCTTCGACTTTCTGGGCTTGCGCTTAACAACAGCTGGGTTCGACGTACCTGAACCCGTGAGCTCTCTCGCCATCTCACATCCGTCCACAAACTTCTTACCATCGACCACCGCACCCAACCTCTTCAACTGTTTCCTCTTGTGACCCTCCTTCTTCAACTGTTCAAATGTGTACTTCTTCTCGCTAAACTTCCTCTTGCTCTGCAGAGAATCCTCGAACCAATCATAGCTGACGATCCAGATACCCATGTCGGAAGCTTGGTGAACGACGCCTGTGGCGTTCTTTCCGGCGTTCTTCCATGCTTCTTTGCTGGCAATGAGGTGGGTGACCTTTTTGGTGATCGTGGGAGACCATTTGCCGCCGTTGGCTTCAACCCATTTTTTGATCTGGGAGGGCTCCTTGGGTAGAGTGCCGGCTATGGCGATGGTGAGCTTGGAGAGTGTGCCCATCTTGGGAAAGTACTCGTGGTAGTCAACAGGAGTTGAATGTGCTTTTAGAGATTGTTAATCCAGCAATTAGACTGCAGTGGAGCTACAGGTTGATTGTAGGATAAAGTTGAAACTCTACTGTTGCGGAAGAGAGTTTTGTACCTAATATTGCTAGCCGAGCCTTGAAAATCTAGTCAATTTTACTTAACAGAGGCAGACAAGTTGGAAGGTAAGATAGCGTTTGTCAAGACCGTGCGGCTGCCGTCAGAAGGTGAGAGTATCACGAGAAACGCTTTTGCGAGGCTGCCTAAACTGCGGAAAAGGTTTCCAATGAAGGGACGAAGGAGAGACTTGGAGACAGAGTAAGAAGAAACACGAAAATGTGGATGAATACGGAACAGAAGACGTAGGTTGACAAAGTCGACGTTTTTTGGGGAGGCGAAGTCCCTCTACTTAGCTTTCATCTACAGATTCATTGTTAGAGGCTGAACATATTCTCCTGACTCTTCGCAGCCCTGACGAAGGCACGAATCTTGTCCAAGTTCTGTTGACCATCCACCTCTACACCGCTGCTGACGTCTACAGCCTTGACGCGGTCTCGATACTCGCCTAGGCCAAATAGAACGTTTTGTACGTTCTCGGGGCTGAGGCCTCCAGCCAGAATAATCTTGACGCCGTCGTCCTTCCCAAGCACTCCTTTGACATCTGTTAAATCGAGTTGTTGGCCCGAACCTCCTGAGCCAGCATCAAGAAGTGGCAGTGCATGGTATCCCCTCGATCCGATACCGTGGTCATGCGGGTTGAACGCCTTGAGCACCGGAACGGGGACTAATTTGGCCCACTCTAGAGGTTCCTGACCGTGGAACTGCACAATATCTAGGTTGAGCAGCCGTTGTTGCTCGAGTACATACTCCAGTGACTGATTTCGGAAAACGCCTACGAGAAGAGCGCGAGCTTCGCTTGAGACAAGCCTTGAGGAACCGTGCTCGAAGAAGTCTGTTGCATACTTTGATTCTGCGAGAAGCCCTGATCTTGAGATTTGTGGCTTTCTGGTATTGTGCACAACTTCCGATATCGCCAAAGCTGTTTCTGCTGACACTGTTCGTTTGGTTCCAAGAGCCAGGATCATGCCGATCAGATCTGCCCCAGCTTCAACCGCAGCCTTTGCAGCTTCGGCACTGCGCGTTCCGCAAATCTTGACCATTGGCGTTGAAGAGCCTTGAGTTACTCTTGTTGATGTGCCACCTAGAAGCTCCGCAATGAATTGCGCTGTATCGGAAGCTCGCATCAACGCCTCGCCGACTAGAACCGCACCAACTCCGCTTTGAACGTATGGCTCAACGTCTTTGGGCCCTGCGATACCGCTTAAAGCACAAAGAATGGTCTCTTTGGGTACCAGGCTGATGAGACGATTAGTCGTCTCCATATCAACTTCGAAGTTGGTAAGATTTCGATTGTTGACACCAATAACCTGGGCTCCCAGTTTGACCGCAATCTCGGTCTCTTCTACGTTTTGGACTTCTACCAGAGGCTCCATGCCAAGCGACCGGGAGTACTCGTAGAGCTTCTTCAACAGACCTTGATCGAGCATTTTCACGATCAATAACACAGTATCGGCACCTGCAAGTCTAGCTTCTAGGATCTGGTACTCATCAAAAATGAACTCTTTCCGAAGGACTGCAGGCCGATTCGGCATGCCTTCAAGACTTTGCCTGACAGCCTTGAGGTCATCAATACTACCTTTGAACCACTCAGGTTCGGTCAACACCGAGATGGTACTTGCACCGGCTTTCGCATACTTCCTTGCCTGCGCTGGTGCACATGTAGACAATGAGATTATGCCTTTGGAGGGGGATGCGCGCTTGATCTCAGCCATGAGGGAGAGCCTAAATGGGGACTGCCTCAGGCGCTCCGGGAAATTGATTTGTGGAGGCGCGATGTTCAAGTCATAGGATGCCTGCAGGTCGCTGGGCCTTTGCGAAGGTATCTTTTTCTGCTCGGCGACAGCTGCCTTGCGATGATCGTAGATCTTCTCAAGAATCGATGTTTGCTTGTTCTTCTTGACCCCGTTGGCTGTTCCATTCGTGGCAGCACCAATGGCGTCGTTATGGGCCTCCTTCTGTAATCGCTCATTCTCGGCCCAGGTTCCTCCCTGCATACGAAGGAAGTTGCGCATCATGATGCGTCCGTCCTCGGTCAAGATGCTCTCCGGGTGAAACTGTACACCTTCGATGACGTACTGCTTATGGCGCACGCCCATGATGACTTCTTTCACGTCGGCATCTTCATTGGCGGGGATGGTGGCGGTCACTTCTAGACAATCTGGAAGTGTACCGTGAGTGCCAGCCAGTGAATGGTATCGTGTAACGGGAACATTCTGGGATACGCCCGCAAATACACCCTTGGCGTCGTGCTTGAGAGGCGAAGTCTTTCCGTGTAGGATCTGGCCCGTGACGTCTACAGTGCCGCCGTAGGTGTAGAAGATGCATTGTCTGCCACAGAATTAACATGGATTCTCATGATGCATATGCTTTCAACAGTATGCTTCAATATGCCTCTACTGAGGTACCTGATTTGATACTAGACGGGTGGTACTCACTCTCCCATGCACACACCAAGAATTGGGATTCTGCCGCTGAAATGCTTGATGGCCTCATTACTGATGCCAGCGTCCCTTTCTGGGTGACCTGGCCCAGGGCTCACCACCAATTGTGT